GGATGTCAAGGGGTTGGTAGAGTTGAATTTTGTTGGGAACCCTTTCCTTGGCTTGTAGACATCCATCTTCTCTGTCTGTCTTTACATGGCTGTAACTCTAAAAGTGTCTGTATCTTAAACTCCACTTATATGAAATCACATATATTGGAGGAAGGTGACCCATATGATCCATGTTGACTTAATTGCCTATTGGAAGTACTATTTCCAAATACAGACACTATAAAATAATGGAGGTTAGGATTTCAACATATGAATTAAGAGGGGACCCAATTCAGTCCACAACACATGTGGATTACAAAAAAACGATTTCTACAACACATTACGTTACTGATATCATAGATAAGATTTTTGTATGTGTGGGCCCATTAATATGTATTTATAATAATTTTCAGGTTTGGTCTTTTCAAATCTTATAAAAGAAGTAAACGTGGACTTCTGTGTGTTTTGGTCAAGTTCCCCACATACAAGGCACTTTTAAATTTCCTTAGAGTCTCATCCTTGCATTTTTTTTAGAAGCCTTGCATTTGTATTAAATGTCTCTTTGTTAATGTCTTGCTTCCCCCACAAATTGTAGCTCACTGTTGCTTTAATGATCCACTGCAACTGTCCCTGCCATCAGAGGCCTCCCAACTATGCCACTTTCCCCATCACTGTTCTGAGCCAGGGACAGACAGAAATCATATGGAGAGCCCTCCACAAGTCAGTACATTATAAGCAAGTACGTTCTTCTTTTGTCTAAATGATGGAACTGAGAATGAAGAAGTGTCCTCCTGACTAAACCACATGGCTCCAGCTGGGGGTATGGCAAGGGGAGGCACAATTCCACAAAATTTCCCAACATTTTGAGTAAGGGCTTTTTCTTGGTTAAGGATTCACTTGGCTTTTGCACTTTTTAGCTGGTTTCTGGAGTTCTGACAAAATTGTGTTTGTCCATATGTTGTTCTTTATGGAGTGTCTGTGGGAAATGAGGGCTAGCACATTCTAGCCCACCGTCTTGATGTTTTGTCCAAGATTCAAGGGACAGATGTGTCAGCAAGGTGTTAGTATGCCTGAAAGAATGTCATCAGATATACTGATTTATCTAATCTGTTCTCCTCATGACACATCTGCTTTTATTCCCTTCCTAGGACTTGATCAAAGGAAACCAGATACTGTTCCATGTCTATATTGTTATTATTTGTGTGAATTTAAAGGGCCATCTGTATCTAAAGTGATCTGACTTTCTCTTGATATGGTTTTTGGGCTCAGACACCCAAATGTGTGGATTCAAACTGTGTCTCATGTGGTAGAAAAACAGGCATTTGTTAAGTAAGGTTGGGAGTCTACCCTCCAGCTGGGAGGAAGTCAGCCATGAACAGTGATGTGATTGCATTGGGCTGGATATGTGGTTGGAGAAATTTGCTGTATATAGTAGAAAATATCTTCTTTAGTTTCAGAGACATGTCTTGGTGGAGGGAAAGAATCTTCACAGTAACAATCACTCAGCTATCAGATAGGTGTTTAATCTGCTGAGTCCTCTGAGGTAAGTTAAAAGAAATTTGCAAATGACACTATAGATAAAGGGCTGGTATCCAAGATCTATAAAGAACTTCTCAAACTCAACACCCAAAAAAATAATCAAGTCAAAAAGTGGGCAGAAGATAAGAACAGACACTTCTCCAAAGAAGACATACAAATGGCTAACAGACACATGAAAAAATGTTCATCATCATTAGCCATCAGGGAAATTCAAATCAAAACCACATTGAGATACCACCTTACACCAGTGAGAATGGCAAAAATGGACAGGGAAAGAAACAACAAATGTTGGAGAGGTTGTGGAGAAAGGGGAACCCTCTTACACTGTTGGTGGGAATGCAAGTTGGTACAGCCACTTTGGAAAACAGTGTGGAGGTTCTCAAAAAATTAAAAAATAGAGCTACCCTATGACCCAGCAATTGCACTCCTGGGTATTTACCCCAAAGACACAGATGTAGTGAAAAGAAGGGCCATATGCACCCCAATGTTCATAGCAGCAATGTCCTCAATAGCCAACCTGTGGAAGGAGTCAAGATGTCCTTCAACAGATGAATGGATAAAGAAGATATGGTCCATTTATACAGTAGAATTTTACTCAGCCATCAGAAAGGATGAATACCCAACTTTCACATCAACATGGATGGGACTGGAGGAGATTACACTAAGTGAAATAAGTCAAGCAGAGAAATTCAATTATCATATAGTTTCACTTATTTGTGGAACATAAGGAATAGAATGGAGGACATTAGGAGAAGGAAGGGAAAGATGAAGGGGGAGAATTGGAGGGAGAGATGAACCATGAGAGACTATGGAGTCTGAGAAACAAACAGGGTTTTAGAGGGAAGGGGTTGGAGGGATGGGTTAGCCCAGAGATGGGTATTAAAGAGGGCACGTACTGCATGGAGCACTGGGTGTTATACAAAAACAATGAATCATAGAACACTACATCAAAAACTAATGATGTAATGTATGGTGACTAACATAATAAAATTAAATTAAGAATAAAAAAAGAAATTAGAGTGCTTTGATGAGTTTCCTACAACTTATATTAAAAAGGAAAATATGCGATTCCTATTTAAAGAAATACATTTCACTTTGATGATTATGTAGTGTGAATTCTATTATGCATCTGACATGCATTTTCTCAATTGGGACTATTTCTTAGGTGGCTATATTATCATCATATTGCATAAGTGATTTATGTGAAAAGAATATAGAGTTAAGTATTTGAGATTTATTTGGTCTTATATCACATATGAGTCATCCCAGGTTTAAAAGACAAAGGGGATGAAGACCACCTTGTCACAGTGAGATAGGGCCAGAGTCTGGTAGCAGTGTGTACTTCTGTGTATGAGAGCATGACCCTGGAACATCCTTGTATCCTTGATGGGGCTAGTGAACATTTTTGTTTCTTTCTTCTCTAAACCATAACATTTTGCATTATATTAAGCACAAATTTATATCCAACAATATTTTTGAAATAATGAAAATATTTAAAACAGGTAAAGTATTTCAGGAAGTAAAAAAAAAAACATGTTGAGAATTTTATGCAGTTCTTTTTAGTTTTTTTGTTTTGTTTTGTTTTTAATTTTATTATGTTATGTTAGTCATCATACAGTACATCATTAGTTTTTGATGTAGTGATCCAAGATCCATTGTTTTCATAAAACACCCAGTGCTCAGTGCAATACATGCCCTCCTTAATACCTATCACCAGGCTAACCCATACTCCCACCCCCTCCCCTCTAAAACCCTCAGTTTGTTTCTCGGAGTCCATAGTCTCTCATGGTTCATGTCCCCCTTGGATACCCCCCCTTCATTAAAGTAAAATATTTTGTAAATTGTATAGTTCCATGCAAGTCCTGATTATTATTAATAATTCCATTTTTATATTTACCTTATTACTGACTGAAAATATGGAGGTGCTAACACATTTTCTATATGTGTGGCTTCCATTTCTATTCATTTCTTTAGTTTCTATCTCCTGATATCATTTACCTAATAACTTTACCTTAAATAAAATTTACACTAAAGATTTTTAATAAATGCAGAATTCAAAATTCAAGGGAAATATGGAAACAAACAATTAAAAATATGTGTGGACTATGATAAGAATCATGAGCTTTTATTATGATGAAAATAACTATATGTAATTGCTTATTTGATAAAGTTTTTTAGGTAGGAATTTTTGACTTTCAACCTTTATGGACCTAATAACATATAATTTGTTCTGAAATCCAGCATGGTAAATATGAACTTTAATATTGCTTCCTTTCTCTTGCCACGTTTCCAGTTTGGTTTTAAAACAAACTTTAAGATGATATTATTTTAATATTTTTACTTCAACTTGAAATTCCAAGACAGTACTTAGTGCACCAGAGCTACATGATAATTACAATTGTTTTAAGGTTGGGAATTGTAATTTTTAAATTATATTGATGAACATATCATAAAAGTTCTCAGTCCTCAATATATTTATTTTATATTAATGTGAATGGAACTGACATTTAGAATTTTATCTACAACTGGAAATGCTTTTGGAAGTTGGAGGAGGTGCCTGGGTGTTAGAGAATTTCTTTCTTGGTGGAAAGATGCATGATATCTTTTAGGTCTTCTCATCTTAACATGAACTTTGTACTTTTTCCTCATCCATAAAGTGAATTTTTTTATTTATAATACAGTAATGTGGCATAGCCTAAAATTAATTTCCTGAATGTTATGAAAATATTTTTACAGCATTCAATGATTTTATTTTTATTTTTTAAAAGATTTTATTTATCTATTTGTCAGAGAGAGAGACAGAGAGCACAAGTAGGGGGAGCAGCAAGCAGCGGGAGAAGCAGGCTCCCCACTGAGCAAGGAGCCTGATGCGGACTCCATCCCTGGACCCTGGGATCATGACCTGAGCCGAAGACAGCTGCTTAACTGACTGAGCCACCTAGGTGTCCCATTCAGTGTTTTTAATACTTACCAGAGTATTACCCTTTAGAGTTAGAGGTGAGGGAAAATGATTAGATAACTTTGTATGTGCTTAAAAAGGCCTAAGAATTCTGTATTTAAAGGAAAAAAAGAGGATAAAACGTATTTTTCAAACTGGACAGAAGTTCAGAGTGCTTTTAATACTGTCATAAATTCACTGGGTAATTGAGTGTGAGTAATACCTCTGATAATCAATAGAGCCAAGGGAAATTGAATATGCATACATTCTCTACAAGTTGTCTTGTGTGTAAAGAGATAGGTTAAGTTATCATCATCCAGAATTTATTCTCTGAAAGTTACTGGAATAAGATACATTGTTTTCCAATCATTTTGCAAAGAAAATGAAAGCAGTGTCCAGTCTGTATATTTTACTTGGCTAGGGCAATGGTGTGGAGGCAATTCAAGGCATTTAACAATAATCATTTTCTTTTCTCTTGAAGTGCAGTCATTGTCTTTACATGGAATCTTTAGATACAATCTACTCTGATATTTCAGATTAAACTATGAAGACAGGAAATCAAAGCATCAAAACAGATTTTATACTTTCTGGTCTTTTCCAATATGGCCAAATGGACACTTTCCTCTTTGTTGCCCTTGTGATCCTCTTTGCAGTGGCTCTGATGGGGAATATCATACTGATCCTTCTCATTCAACTGGACACCAGACTCCACACTCCAATGTATTTTCTACTCAGTCAGCTCTCCTTCATGGATATAATGAACATCACCACCACAGTGCCCAAGCTGGCCACTAACTTTCTGTCAAATAGTAAGACCATTACATTTTTAGGCTGTGAGAGTCAAACATTTGTGCTCATAGTCCTTGGTGGAACTGAAGCCCTTCTCCTTGGTTTCATGTCCTATGATCGATATGTAGCCATCTGTCACCCTTTGCATTATCCTGTACTCATGAGCAAGAAGATCTGTTGGATCATGGTCACATGTGCATGGACCAGTGGATCTGTCAATGCTCTAGTACACACATTGTATGTGTTTCATCTTCCATTTTGTAGATCACGGCTCATCAACCACTTTTTCTGTGAACTTCCATCTCTATTACAACTGGTTTGTCAGGAAACTTCCCAGTATGAGTATACAGTCCTCCTGAGTGGGCTTATTATTCTGCTGCTGCCGTTCTTGGCCATTCTAGCATCCTATGCCTGTGTACTTACTGTGGTGTTCCAGGTGAGCTCAGGTAAAGGACAGACAAAGGCTGTTTCCACTTGTTTCTCTCACCTGACTGTGGCAATCCTGTTATATGTGACTGCTCTCTCCACCTACACCAGACCGCACTCCTTGCATTCCCCAGAACAGGGCAAGGCAGTGGCAGTGTTTTACACCATCATCACACCTCTTCTGAACCCATTTATCTACAGCCTGAGGAATAAAGAGGTTATTGGGACCATGAGAAGACTGTTGGTATAATGGATATTTGTACAGGAGATATCACTTTGGGAAATCCTTATTGATTGAGATTAAACCACATAGATCACTTTGCCTGGAATACTGCTTTGGAATGTATAAACTCTCAGAAATATTTATGAAATAAATAAATTGATAAATACCATGAATCCTGTTGGTTTCAGAATGGCTTAAAGATAGTTTTTGAAACTGGATGCATTTCCAATCTGTAAGCTGGAAAAAATGTGTTATTGTCAACATTATTTAGCTTCTAAAGCAATAGATTTCATGCATGTCAACTCAGTATTTGCATGTCAACATGCAACAACAAATATTTTGTAATAACCTCCTTAATATCTGAAACACAATGAAAAGGAGATATAATCTATACAAGCACGTACCATCAAAAGGATCTATGTAAATATATACTGTAATGTAGAGCAAAGTACATAATTCACTCATTTATGCATTCATTCAACAACTGATTTAATGTTTTAACTATTTGTGACACTGGTATAGGCATTGGTGATCTAGGAGTAAACAATGATAAGAACTGACAGAAAACTTTGATCTCATTCAGTTTGCATTTCAATGTGGGGAGATATAAAATTATTAAAATAAATATGAAAAAAACTGTAATATTTAAAATAAGAGGAATTAATGGGAAAATAGCTGGAGATTGGGATAAGGAAATTCAGAGAATTTATGGGGCGCCTGGGTGGCTCAGTCGGTTAAGCGTCTGCTTTCGGCTCAGCTCATGATCCCAGGGTCCTGGGATCGAGCCCCGCATCGGGCTCCCCGCTCCGCGGGAGGCCTGCCTCTCCCTCTACCACTCCCCCCGCTTGTGTTCCTGCTCTCGCTGTGTCTCTCTCTGTCAAATAAATAAATAAAATCCTAAAAAAAAAAGGAAAGTCAGATAATTTTGTAATTTTATATAAAATAATCCATGAAGTGGCAACTATAAATATTTGGTCAAAGATTTAACTGAGATGAGTAAATAATTCAAATCGATACTTCATAAAGAATGTTCTGGGGGGGAAATATTCTGGGCAAAAGAAGTAGCAAATAAAAATTTCTTGAGGTAGGAACATGATGGACAGGGCAAATAAAATGAAAGAGTAAATTGGTGGACTCCAGTAGATGAGTCAAATTAATGGATACAGAATTTGAAATGTGAGGTTGACCATTGTGAGAAGTTTGGTTTTTATAAGGAAAGCAACCTTGCAATAATGAGTTCACCTTTGCCTAGTATGACTTCCCTGTTCCTGCTCCCTTCTGCTATAAAAGCTTTTCATTTTGTAGAGCTCTCCAGGGCTCCTTTCCAACTATTAGAGTGAATGCTGCCCAATTTATGAATCACTGAATAAAGCAATAAAATCTTTAAAATTTATTCAGTTGGATTTTGCTCTTAACAGAGGAAACAACCAAACTACTCACCACAGTCCATAGAACTACTTTTATTTGTTAGAGTTATGCAAATCTTCTTTGTTCTCTCTGTGACACTTTTCCAGAAATAGAAACATTGGCAACTTCAGAGCCCATGTGGCTGTACCTCAGGTCTACTCAGGGCATCAAAGCAACTTCTTTTCAAAATGAAGATGGGTTTGTAGAAGCCCTGGGAGCACTGCCCAATAGGCTGTACATTAAGGAGGTGTTGTGGAGTTTTATAACTCTTTGGAGGAAACCCTGTCATACAGGTAACTCTCATCAACCCATTCACATCTCTACATCTTTAAAACAGCAGTTTTGAACATTCAGATCAGGGTCACCTTGAAACATGTTATGCCTTCTTTCAGGAGGCCCTGGATTGTCTGCAATTAAATGATCTCATTGGGGCTGGTGCCATTTGAGGTAAGGCAAGGTGAAGGAATAAGGAGGTTAGAAAGGGAGGATGAAGATAGAGGACCATTGTGAAAGAGGAGAGACTATTAAGCTTAGTCACTGAGAATAGAAATGATGACATCCCTTAACCAGGTTCTTTTCCTCATTCCTTCCCCACCTTATCTCCTCTTGGTCCATGTATCCCATCTCAGCATATTCTAGAATGTGTCTACCCT